AATAAAGTCGTCTTTCTACTTACTACAGTTTTATAAATTCAATGAAAAGTGTTTAACATATGTTAACAAACTGTTTGACATATGATAAAAACAGCAAAACAAATAAGTGCCAAATGAATCATAAGGGATCATAAGTATAAAATATGTATTATAACATTAACATATACCTTTTACTAATTGATACAGAAAATGTGATAAAGTCGGATGCAACCGTGATAGTCCTTTATGGCGCATTTTTCGAGGCTGTGGGCACTCGTTCCATCTCGAGTGTAACCTCCCTGACATCAGTGCTTGCCCAATTTGCAAAGGGCTTCTGAAATCGAAAGCTCAAAGCTTGGGAATAACTGCGAACGAGGCAATCAAAAATTTCGATCTGAAATCTGGCCAAGACGACGACGGGACGATGGGTGGTGAGGGAGAGTTGAGCGAAGACGAAGACGAAGACGAAGAGGAAGGAGACGGAGACGGCGACGACGACGACTTTGTTGAACAATCAACGAGCTATGAACGCACCGTTGGAGATCTTCTTTCGAAGATTGCTTCGTGGCAACATGTTCAGGCACCCACTCATTAAAACGACGATACTGTGAGTCAACTTCTCTTTATAGCGTGCAGTGGCCACTGCTGCCGGTAAAATCATAGTCATGTAGGGACTGATTGAAATACGATCATAGCAGATTTGATTCCAAAATCGCAGTAAAATGAAATGCACTCTTGGTAAGGCAAAAGGTCAAGCGGATATATGCCATCTCTTCACTTCCGTTTATACAATAATTATTAACACGCTTTGACCTATTCCAATGAGTGACCTTACGTAGCCATTCATTGAATGCGGCTAATTTATAAACTAAGTGACTAAACGCAAATCCCAGCGACAAAATTTTAGAAAATTATATATTTTATAGGATTTCGTTAAAATAAGTAAATAAATTAAAAAAACCCGGCCCCCCTAAGGCTTTACACACGACCGTGATTTTAGCGTTGAAATATGAGTCCAAACCGGAAGTAGTGATTCTGATTGGTTTAGCGGCAAAAGGTAAACAAATGCTCTGATTGGTCAAAAACGAAATTCACCCTTGTTGCTTTGAGTTCACTGTATATTGGTGATAGAACTGCAGGATAATCAGTCGTTCACCAGCTGGAAAAAGAAATAGCCTAAAACATTATTGTCAAATATTGCGATGGGCAGCGTCTTTGCCAAGTTTTAAACATTTGATTAGAATTCAAATGTTTGATTAAAATTCTTCTGTCGCACCATCTACTAGCTAAAAATAGCCCTGAAGCCATGATTATATTGTTTGTGAACCAGTGACCTAACAACTGGACCATACATTACGTGACAAATCATAATCATAATCGGTGGCCACGAAGGCCACATTTGGTAACACCGCCCTAATATCAAGAAATGATATCAAGAAATAATTGGTTTGCAGGCTACAAAAAATGTTGAGTTAACTGCATGACCATTATCAATTAAACTTTACTAACCTCTCATTTGTCCATGTATCACTAAAAAGACAAAATGTCATATTGAGCATCGTGACAATGCAATATTTGTTGAGTAGCATCTAATGACAAAAACCGCAAACAATTGTTGTGGATATAATGAATCATACAGTAACTTTGCCTCCTCCTCGAATAAGCCGCCCAGGGCATGGGTCATTATCTATAAAAAAGAAATAAAACAAACTTGGTTGATATATTGCATAAATCTATGTAATGATAGGAGGCAACCTTTTTTAATTTTAGAGTTTTAAATTGATGATGAAAAACTTGAACATGCATCATCATCACTTAATACATGAAATAAATAATATTGAAGAAAGTAGCTGATATATACCGTCAAGGTTTGCATTAACTTGCAAGGCTTGAGAATTGAAAATATAAGTTAGTTAATTTCAATAAAATTATATTAAGATGCAATTGCTCTACTATACATTTATAATCATAAAATGTTAAACAATATAAGGCAGTATATACAAAATTTAAAAAAAAAACATAATTTTTGTGAATATTCAATCAGCATACCAGGCCTTTCTTGGGGTGCATGACCATTATCAATTGAACTTTACTAACCTCTAACTTGTCCATGTAACACTAAAAAGACAAAATGTCATATTGAGCATCCTCATAATGCAATATTTGTTGAGTAGAATCCAATGACAAAAACCGAAAACAATTGTTGTGGATATAATGAATCATACAGTACCTCTGCCTGCCCCCCCCCCAAACCACCCAGGGCGTGGGTCATTATCTAAAATAAAAAAATAAAACAAATTTGGTTGACATATTGCATAAATCCATATAATGATAGGAGGCAACCTTTTTAATTTTACAGTTTTAAATTGTTGACGAAAAACTTGAACATGCATCATCATCACTAATTAACACATAAACTAAATAATATTGAACAAAGTAGCTGATATATACCGTCAAGGTTTGCATTAACTTGCAAGGCTTGAGAATTGAAAATATAAGTTAGTTCATTTCAATATATATCATAATGGAATTGCTTCACTATACATTTATAATCATAAAATATTAAACAATATAGGCAGTACATATCATTTTTGTGCATATTCAATGAGAGCATACCAGGCCTTTCTTGAGGTGGAGGATTAAATGAAAGTATTTCAGTTGTGCAGGGGAAAGTATCCATCAATAAGTCACATCAATCATGAAACTTACTCGGTTGCTCATCTGGCCCCTGAGCCAGATCAGGGACTGCTTCAAGTATTTCTATAGTGAAAGAAAATTTGCATGTGTTATCCTTTTAGTACTATGTGAAAAGACATACAAATTAACTAACTGTGACAAAAATAATATAACAAATAGTTTTTTAATCATATTTACCACCATCATTATCAATATCAATGTCTAAAATTAGATTTTTGAACATTGGAAATGAACAATGACATTTTAATCAGTTGCTAATTTGTACATTCAGAGTGAAAGATATATAAATATGTGCCTATATACATACCAAGTATGAGTTCATCCTCATTATTCTCCACTAAAATAGTTGGTAAAGTAGATGTATTAATACAATAATTGCACTACCAACATCATGAAAAAAGTGCTTTGTTGAAATAATTTTGCATCTTACTTCTTTGTCTCCTTTAGATCTTTACAGTATATATAAATATGCCATCAACATAAAAAATATATTGAGCAAAAAAAGTATGTAAAAACAACAGCACCATATAGCGTACTCGAGGCAAGCTCAAAAATCATAAAATACAAATATTAGTTTTGAAAAAATTATTTCTATTGTAATATAAACAAACTTACATGTTTTAGATTTTTTCAAAACTTCTTTGAATCTAAAATATAAGAAAAAATATGATATTTTCATTATTTCCTAAAGGTAAAGCGCATCAGCCATCAGCGTTGCAAAAATCGACAAATTTATAAATGCTTTAAAAAAAGTTTTTGCAGTTTCTTCCAAAAATGTTTCTCCTCAAATTTGTAAATTAAAATGTCAACAAGCGAGAAGTGTAGTATGATTTATTAGGCGAACTTCGAAATGTTCAATATTTTATAAAGTTTTTTATTATGAATATGACTTACCGCAGTCCAAACAGTGACACAGAACAGGACAATATTTTCCGCCGCTTTTTGAAATTTATGCTATACGTGGATTTTGCGTGTACTCTTTTTCAGTCACCAGGTAAATCACGTAAACACCTACACGCACAAATTATAAAGTAAAGAGTTTTGAACAGTGAAACGGTTGATTGTTTATATTGTATCTTACCTGATTGATGTTCTAATGTTTTTTAGTAAAACGAACAAACTTTAATAATGTAAATATCTGTACATGTCAACAGCCACCCTCAAAAACATAATATGTGAGATTATGTCTAGTAACAGGCAATGACACATGTTTACATGATAAATTGCCCTCCTCAAAAACACAATGATAGAGGAAATGTCTGTAACAATTTTTTAGCAAATTCATTTCCAAAATTGTGTCTAGTAACAGGCAAGTCTTTCATCGAAAGCACATTGGTGCCCAGTGTCATTGAACAATATATAGCAACACAAACTTACAGCACAATCCATCCACCTGATTTTCAATACTTATGGCTTTGCTCAGTCTTTTCTGCAAGCACACGAAGACGTCGTTCTGCTTCTTGTCGCTTCTTCAAATTTTTATTCCTACCAACGACTTTCAGACGATCAAATGTCATAGGTTCAAACACAATATCACGAATTGATCTTACCCTGGATGTTGCCACAAACGTGCAGCCGGCAACTCTCTCCCCTTTACCTAAATCAACAACAGCCTTGGTTAGTGTCCGTCCTTGGGACTTGTGTATCGTCATTGCATACCTCAGCCGCAAGGGCAATTGTTGTCTTGACAAATACTTTCCATCAGCCATCCACTCAAACAGTCTTGGGGGCACAGGTATACACTTTGAACATTCTTGTAGAAATGCAGGGCCAGAATATGCCGGAAAATGAACCAGTGCTGCAATCAGTACATTTGGTGGACCCATATTCTCTGCAAACCAAAATTGCTCAACAGTTCCAAAAGAGCCATTGCAAAGACCGAGTTCTGCCCAAAGGTTACATGTCAGCATCATTCTGCTTTAGTTGACAAAAAGAGGACAGCTTCCAAACCACCTGCTTCATCAGAGGTTGCCGCACTTGCACCCCGACCAGAATGCCTTGCTCGAATTTTGACCAACGGTTGTCCAATCTCTAGCAACTTCTCATAATTATATTCAGCGACACTTTTTTATCAAAGTACAGCCGAATAGCATCACTAAATTGATCCATTGAAACGTTAGGTCTGGAGTGCTGTATTAATAGTCTCCAGTCCATCTCGGTAACTTGTCCATCTCTCATTCTCATCAATAGCGCCCTGAATGCAACTACTTCTGGGTCTTCACCAATCTGTCTTATGACCTGCTTTTAAAATGACTACATGATCAAATGTCAAATACATACACTGATTACAGATCCATTACCTGCAATGTACATTGGTTTATCGCCTACAGGAGGTAACTGGCCAAATCCCCCATTAGGATAATCGACATGCCACCAAATGGGACATCCTCTTTTCCTGTACCTGCACGTAGTCTGTTGTCAAGCCATGAAAGCATCTTATGTCCAATCATTGACATTTCATCAATAATGAGAAACCTCTTACCTTCCAATCTGAGCTGCAATCTCTGTAAGGAATCACCTTGTAATTCTCTGTATTCCCAAATCGGAAGTTGAGCTGCGGAATGCAAAGTTTGACCACCAATACTGAATGCAGCAATTCCAGTTGTTGCTGTGACAATACATTGGTCTTGCAATACTTGCTTTAGGGCACTAATTAAATATGTCTTACCTGTGCCAGCAGTACCACTTACAATCATATGTAGTGGTTCACATTCATCCATTAGCCATGGATGCAGTGATAATGTCAAATGCCAGCCGCTGTTTGTCATTCAAGGTCCCTGGGTCAACCACAACTTGTTGGTCACCTGTGTGATACTGCATACCTTGCTCCTCTGCATCCCTTCTCTCTTTAGAAATCCATCCAGGAGATTCTCTCAACAAATCCCCAGGCACACCACTTGCTGCTTCGAACCAATCCACTGCTTCGTTATTTGCCATTTGATTTCCTGCATTCTCATAATGTTGGTTGAGTCTACATAACAACATCCAATCCTCAATTTGCTCTTCCTCATTAGGTTGATCCTGTTCGTCATTGCTTTCATCACTACTTTCATCAGTTCCATATGTTTCATCTGTTTGTGCAGCATGGACCATCTCTGTTTCAATAGAATACCCAAATACATTGTCTCTAGCGAAACCTGTCTGAAGAAATGAAGCATATGTGTTAATAAACATATCATCAGTTTCCTCCATATTGTCCCATGCATTTGATGACTTACCTTCCCATGGTTTAAACTTAATGAGTTGATACTTGCAGTATTTTCCAAAGGTAGGGCTGCCAGGATTGGCTGTAACCTTTGGAAATGTCCTGACAATGTAAGGATTCACTCGTTTTGGGCAGTCTCCTGGGCAGCCATGTCTCTATCACCAGCAACTTAGATCATTGCTTTCTTGATTGCAGAAGACACTTGGCCATCATTCTGTAATGAAGATACAGACAACTTCAGTATATCAGAAGCAGATTTTGATCGTGGTTCTGCTTTTTCTGCATACTTGGCCATATATCTTGCACATGCCTTTTCATCCACAATTACCTGTAAATCCACATTGGCCCGCCAATTTTCAACATGACCCTATTGTGTGAATTCAGCCTCTCATCATTTCTCTTGGTTTGCAACTCTGAGTGAACAGATTTATTCTTCTTACCTCGTACCTCATAAATCAGCGCAGTTTCCTCTTGTAATGGTTTTGGGAACCCAATTCTGCACTCTGCAGGCTGGTCAAACCTCTTCTTTTTCAGGCAATAGGCTGGACTGCATCAGGTATGCCTCTCTACCGAATTTACTAACCTGTGATAATCAATGTCATGATTATCAACTGATGTGGCTTTCACAGCAGAAGGGTGTGGATCTGGTACTGTCCAGTTCTCGTCAGGCAGATCTTTATTAACTGTGGTCACAAGCCAGTCAACATAACTTTAAAAGGGATAAAAAGTAACATGGTTATAATACCTAATTTATATATATTTCTCTATAATGTAAATACTTTGTTTTCACTCTCAATTCCTTAGCAATAGGAAATATTAATTTCTATAGAAAATATACGGAATTTGTTTTTTTGTGAATTTATGTGGAAGCTGTATTTTGCAAAATTTGCAACATTAGTAGGCAAAAACTAAGTGTTCTACAGCACATACAAATGATCTCTAATAATGCACTTGCAACTTATACCTTGGACACAATTTGCGTAATTTATGTGGTGTAAATCATTTATAATACTTAGATATACATACAAACCTACCTAATTAGCTTTCTCTCCGCATCTTCACCCTCTCTGACAATTTCCTGGCAAGAGAATTCAAAATCGTCAGGGGACATTTCATTCTCTTTCGCTTTTTTGAGTACTTCTTGACATGCATGTTTACGTAATAATATCTGGATCATTCTTTAATTTAGCACATCCATGAGCATGTATACTTCTTCTGGCCTGATATTCAAACCTATACCAAAACCATTCAGCATCCAAGACACCTTGAAGCCAATGTTTGATGAACTCCTGTAGCCTTTGCATGAAGAACCAATCCGTCAGGTGTGGATTGTCTATCACTGCTTGTGCTCTTTCTGTTCTTGATGCACCCTCATTACTTTGCAACAGTCTTTGTAAGTCTGGCCAATGGCTATCAGCTGAACTAAAAGTGAAAAAAAAGGTAGGGCAACCTTTTTGTTCAATCAGGGCTAATAGTTCTTGCAGTTGCTGATACCAATACTGATTTGTACCTTGAATTTTTGAAACATATCGTTGCAAACGATTTATCATTTGATTTGCACTCATCAAGTTCACGATTGTCTTCAGCTCCTCCATAGTCATGTTTGCATCCGCTGGATGTTGCCGCAAGTAAATGTTAGCTTGTGACAACAACTGATGTCTGCTTCATATTCAATGCCCAGTATGGGAACCGAGGATGAGAGGCAAACCTCCATTCAAACTTACCATTTGGTAGCCTCTCTGCAAACTTCATTAGGTGTTTGAATGCCTCTGCCAAACTTACCTCATGTTGCCTGACTCTGTTTGTTGGGTCACCTTTCCCATAGGAAAATAGTGTTGGAAATGCCATGCTTGCCAAACCATCTGTTTTAAATTAATTAACAGCATTACCTTCTGTAGATGGCCAGTCCAAAGGGTCAACCTCATTTACTGCATCTTGGATAGCTGCACCATCCTTTCTTTGTCTTTGATGCATAGGAATAAATTATGTACTGCCATTTCCTAAAACTAATTCTTCAACTGTTGCATTAGCACTCATTACAGGTTCTTGTGGGGGGCCCTCATTTTGAACTGAAAGTTCATTGTCATCAATAACATACCTTAGCTCTTCAGGGACACCATTCTCTGGTAGGCTTTGGATAACATCCGTGTCAATCTCAATGTCTTTGAAAAATGGATTGTTTGTTTTCAACCACAATAAAGCTTCCAGCACTCTGTGTTGACGAACTGTAAAATCTTTATGTGTTTCATCAGCACCCTGTCTACACACAATCATAACAGGCAAGTCAGCTACTTGTGCCGGCAACCTACTCAAAAAACGTTTGAATATCCTGCGGTAAGTTTAGTACATGACCTTTGTAGCCCCTTTGCCCACCATGTTTTCTGTAGACTTGCATGATGGAGCAAACCCTTGAAATCAGCATTTCCTCTACCTGTGTCAAACCTCTCAATTGCTCAGGAACAACACCTGGGTCCATGTCATTGCCAGCACTGAAATTCTTTGGGGACTTCTTGTCTCTTTTGCACCGGTAACAAACGAAGGGATCTGCTGCCAAGTTTTGCCTTGTTGGCCAGGCCTCTTTACAAATTGTACACTGCCGATGCTCTAAATGCTCTTGATCTAAATGAAAACTGTGCATTTCATTCTGAACAAACTCCTGCTCATGCAAGGGGTTATCAACATTTTGCCAGCCACCTTCATGCAAATATTGGTCTGAACTACTTATAGCATCATCATTTGTACCATTCTCATCACACAGTCTTACCTGATCGTTTTCTGACTGTACTTGCTGAGGTATTGACCTTGTCTCATAGGATCTTTTTGCTTGTTTCCTCACATTTTCAAGCCTTTCTGCTCGCTTTTGGACACTTTCACATCGCCTTCTCTCTCTTGCATTAGCTCTATTTTCTTCCCTTTGCATCTCACTTTCTTCACTTGTACTTGCTTCTTTTCTCCATTTATAAGCAGCCCTACGCTTTGCCAAGCAATTCTCCTTTTCTTCTGACGTTTCTCGTTGCAAAAGTAGTCGTGCATTTTCCCTTCATCTCTCAAGTACCTTGCTGGAGCTCGCTTCAATTCTACGCCTATGAGAAGCCCTTCGCTTTGCCAAAGAACATCCTTTCTCTTCCGACGTCTGCGGATGAGATTCTTCACATCTTTTATCTCTTTTCTTTCCTCTTTCATCGCATGTACTTACCCTGACCATTTTTTCGTATGCATCTCTTCGCTTTGCTAATCTATGCTGCTTTTTCTCTGCCATTTCTTTATCCATCTTGGCCTTATGATTAACCCTTCTTTTTGCCAGCATTTCCGCGTGATAACCTGCTTCCTTCTGCATCTTGGTTTCCAAATTGGACATTGATTTTAACGAAAAATTTGCTTGTCTTAAGCAGAGTAGATTTTTTTTGTAAAAAGTTTTTAAATGGCTTTTTAAAAAGACAGTTAAATCGCTCACGCTGTATTTTAAATATAAACATTTTGTCTTGGCCAATCAGGATGATACTGGTTACCAGTGTTTACTCGTTCAAAATTTCGCGCATGCGCATATCTAACAAAACCACCTTGACCGTCCATGACAAAGAATTTAAACAACTTTGGATTCAGCTATGTTCTGTCACAATACCCAGGTGTAATAATTCTCCCAGCGGAATTAGTACCCTCGCACGGCACTCTGCAGCGGCTTGGGGATAAAATGGAGAATTTACAACAATAAGGACAATATTTGTTAGAGTCGCAATCTCTCTAAGTTAGTACTCTGTAATGAAAATTATTGCAACTTGTGAGGGGTTACGGGTAGATTTTTTGACCATTCTTTCCTTGCTAGTCTGACAACATCCAGTCGGTAATGCCTACATGTAATCTGCAATGCGGAGCGATTGTAGAATACCTGGCCAATAGTGGGATACAGGGATACGCAGTGAATAAAATGACGTAATTTGGTGTGATGTTAAAAAGTTTTCATAAAGAGGAGTGGGTAACTATAATTTTTCAATGATACCGGGGATACACAGTGAAATAAGTGACACAGTTTAGTGTTGTGTTAAAACGCCCTGAAACGACAATTTATTTGGAAAACGGTATTGAAACAAATTACTTTTAAAAGTATATTTGATGAAAAAAGATATATTTATAATACATAGAACATAGTTTATAGTGTATTAAAGAACCTTAGAATGTGTTACTCATTTGGCTGCTCCTCGTTTAGCAAACCTTGGCATCTTAAACGTTGTTTTATGTTCTGGGTTATGGCACTGTTACATTGACGGCTGTACGTCTCTTCGTACTGGTCTTGGGTGATAAATGAGTTTCATGGCCTTACTTCAAATGTATGAAAAATTGCAGCCTGTATTCAAGTTTTAAATCCTAGTCGGGGTTGCTATTGCCCATGCAACATGATAAAATTAGCATAATAATATGATAACAATATATTGGCAAAGCAACTAAGTTGAGAAAATGGAACAAGGCGAGCAAAAATATGTCGGAAAATATATC